AAGTTCAAGTTTCTGCATCACACTGTAGACGTTGCACATCTGAAACTAACCACAATTATTGTACTTCCTGGCCCAGCCAATAGAAATAGGAATGGACTTTTTACATCACTGGTTCCCATCCTTTTTCCTTAAGGAACCCCTTTTCTATCATTGAGTACACCGATGACCCCTGACTACATGACTTACTTTATGGCTATTTCATATTATATTCAATGCATAACAATAACAGCAGAGGACAACAGATAAACTGTACAATGAACCCAAACAGTGAACACAAGAACTGCAGGAAGTTTGTGTAAAACGAGTGATTTGGGTACATTTTTATTATTAAATATTGCATCAGAGGTGAGTTTTACTGATATTATACAGCGTACTGTGAGAGTGAATGCTCTGTGAATAGTTTAACTTTAAAAATAATCATTTCATTTAGTCAGAAATGGACACACTGCTGAGATGTAGGCCTACTGTACATATTTTTCAAGTTTTATTACCACCTTAAAAAAGGAGTGCGTCCTGAGCCCCAGGTTGGGAACCACCAGTTTACATTACAGTGTTCATGAGAGCATTTTGTTTGTTTTCATGCTGAATCCATCATGTGACAAATTGGATGATTTCTTTTTTTTCGTGTTGTGTTATGTGTCTTTTCCTCTAAAATACCTTTTTGTTGTTGTTGTTGTTGTTGTTGTTGTTGTTCAGTGTGTAGCCTTTGATTCTGTACATCTGTCCTGACTGGGTTGGGAGACCACTGGAGCTCTCCTAAATAATCTGAGAGTTGATAACATTTATAGGAAGGTTTCTACATCTCACTTATTTTTAATTGTATACATTAGAGCAAAACTACAACATTCTTAGTTTGATGCCTTTAAGAACAAAGCTGTAAACATACACAAAATAACTTACACAGGTAATCACATAAACTGTTTTGATAAGATTTTGATAAGTAAGCATAAAGTGGAGCCGTGATTCAACTGTGGCTGTTTCAGTTTGTATCACTTTCTTTTCTTCTTCCTTGAGAAGCAAAACTATACAGAATGTGTCACAAAGGTTTACAGAGAGGGAGGAGTGTGTTGTGTTGTTCTGCTCAGTGCAGTCACAGAAGTTAAGAAGTGAAGAGATCTCTCACTCTGTTCATATTACCAGTTACAAGAAAGAAAAACCACCAAAAGGAGGGAAAAGCAATCTTAGGCTTAATACTCCTACTCTTAACACACCAGATCAACACAAATATTTTGCCGGGTCCAGGCACATTAGGCATAACAGTTACAAGTTTGTTTTTATTCTAATATATAAAATGCTTTTAGACATTTGTAACCACTAGAGATGATCAAAACCACCTGGGAGAATGAATAAACATCCAGATTTCAGATAAATTATGGAAGAGCACTCTGAGGCACATTTACAAATGTATATAAAGAGGTCAGAAATACATCAGTATAGCAGGGATCATTTGCCAGAAGAATCCGTGCAGAATGATTGAGTCCCAGCACACTACTCACTTTGGGATATTGTGCTTAATACCAGTGTTTTAACGGTCCAGTGTGTAGGACTTAGTGGCATCTGGTGGTGTAGTTGCAGATCGCTAACCCCACGCATCACCCTCCCCTTCCAAGTGTGAAGGAGAAAAACCTAAAAAAACTAGAGCCAGTGTTTGGTTGTCCCTTCTGGGCTACTGGTTCAACATGGCAGACTCTATGGCGCCTCTAGATAGAAACATCTCATATATTCAGGTGATTCTACACTAATAAAAATATACCAATGCATATTATATTCTATTTCTGCCAATAGATCCTCCTGAATGTTACACACTGGACCTTTCATTTAGTATTTTAATTGATCTTATTTCATTGTAGGTCTCAGTTTGACATAAAAACACAAACAGCTACTTTACAAGTTTGACCCCTGTAGATGGATTCTATATTTAGTGGGACTATCTCGACAAAATGGTGAGGATCAATACAGCATCTCATGCAGGACGGTGAAAGGGAATTGGTTGCTTCTTCCTTTTCTTTTCTGATTCCTTTGCTTCACGCCACTGAAGATCTTTTCCCCTACAAAATCCGTAGCTTGTATCTCATTAGAGCCCCAGAGTGAATGGTAAGTCTGTAACTGACTGTTTTATTCTGCTGCATCACTGTGGAATAATGTGATAAAGCACAACAATGTGGCCAAAGGGGGTTACATACTCGCCTGGTTCACACTCTTCTGGCACTGACGCATAAGCTGACGAAACGTTAAAACAATGACATTTATTTTATTTTTGCAGTTTGACTTGGAGTGAGGACAATTTAGGTATTTATTTTACTAGTGTGTTGGTCATATGAAGTCAGATAGTTGCCTAGACTGTTTACACCTAGGTACATTGTGTCAGCATTGACAGTTTGTAGTCCACAAGGCCTTTGACTGTTAATAATTGTAGACAACGACATCTGTATATACATATATCTTACGTTTGGTTTGACGATGTAAACCTCTGTGTCCCACGCCAATAAAGCCCCTTTGAATTGAATTGAATTGTATCCAGGGCCGTTGTTTCAAAGACGGAGTGGTTCATCCTCTCTAGAGAAGATCTCTGTTAGTGTACACTCCCGGCGGCTCAGCCGAAACCACTGACAGAAACATGAAGGCGTGTTTACTGATTTATTCCAGCACTAAAACATCGTTTCCCGGCGTCCATTTATGAGCTTCAATGACTTAACAATCACCTAAAGACGACACAATGGATTGACACCCGTTTTTTTAATGTCTGTACCGACCCAGAGACCGCGGACATAAACTTTGCAATGCCTCGAACAGCTGCACAGTGTTAGCTAACGTTACTAGCTCCACTAAGTATCTGCACCGACCGGCGGTAAAGCTGTGAACAGCGGTACTCATGGAGGACGGTGGAGGAGCCCGCTGCCAGGTTCCCACTGTCTGCTCCAACGTTGATGTTCCCGCCACACCAAACACGGAGCTGAAGAAACTGCTGGATTTTAAAGTGTACAAGAGGAGATGGTTTCTACTGCTGGTGCTGTGTCTGTTGAACTGCTCCAACGCCATGGTAAGTTACCGCAGTAACTAACGTTACCTGAGGATAGTAAAGTAACGTTACTCTCCAGTTCCACACACCTTACCTGATTCCTGTGAGGGCAACTTGCTCTGGTCATACACATCAAATGCTTTAATGGAAGTTAAATATAATAATCTTCCTTTAAAAAATACCTCGAAACAGAAGATACTAAACACAAAAACTTTATAGTACGGAAGCTCATTTGTGCCCAACAAACAAATAAATAAAGTAACTATACAGTGGTGGTAAGTACTCACATCCTTTACTGTAGTAGCAGTACGAGTGTAAAATCACTGTTACCATTCAACCTTACAGTACATATAAGCAGGCTTGGGTAGTAATAGATTACATGTAACTAGTTTACAAAAAGGTAACTAGTCCATAACAGTTACAGAAAAAAAGATGTAATCAGATTACAGTTCCATTTATTAAAAATGGGGATTATTAGGCCATTTTCCCAGCAGCCATTATGGCCTGACAGCTGTTCCCAATCCCATTCAGTCAGGTTCCATTTAGTGGAGCAGGGTCTTTCCAGTGAGCCTGACTGTCTGACCTGAGTGGAATCAAACCTTCATCAGTCTCATTGGAAACCTGTGTTTACCTGAGGATTTCATGCCAAAAGCGGCGGCTGTGAAAAAGGTCTGTTTCAGAATGACCTGTTAGAATCAGTGACGCATTAATGTGTAAGCATCACTGATGTTGCAGCTCGTTAAAGGTGCTGCTAATTAGAATCAGTGTTCATACTGCCAGGTTAATTAATCCGTAATACAGTCACACACACTAAACCGATCACAGAGAGAGTTTCCAACTTGGCAACTTTCTTACTACATGAAGTGACTTTTCAGACCCTCTTGGTGTCTTTATTTCTAAAAAGCAACTAGTGACACATTTAGTGATTTATTCAGACAACCACGGAAAAGGCAAGAAACATATTATATTGTAGTTCCCATTCATGCTGATCAGAGTAGTCCAGTCCAACAGCAGCCTCCTTTCAGCCTCTCTCTCACTCTTTAGTTGGTAAATATGTAAATAGTTTGACCTTCTCTCTCTCTCTCTCTCTCTCTCTCTCCGGATCTCTGGATTACAGTGTTCCTATAGTTTAGCTTATATGTAAATAGTTGCTTTAAACTCCTCCCTCCCTTTGTAGATTTTAAAAAACGTATTTACTTCAAATATACGATGTCACTTAGGGCTGTGTATCCAATATATTGTGATACTGAACTGGAATTAGTGTTATCAGCTAACCCTCATTTAATGAACTTAGCAACACTGCTAGCTATCTATCTAGGTCTATCCTAAGTCTATTATCTATCTATCTACGGTAATCTATCTATCTATCTATCGGGGCTTTAAACACAAAAATCAATATACTGTTTTAGAATTGATACAGTATCACATAACGTATAATGTCAATATTTGACATTTGATATTTTTGTTTGTGATTACTAAAATAATACTAAATACTAAATAATCAAATTGTAAAAGTGTGTGTGTGTATATTTCGATTGCTGTATACCAACAGGTTTGCAGTTGCACTGCAGTTTGAAATAAATGCTAACTTTAAATAATGTTACAGTCACTCTTACAAAATACTGAGCTAAGGCAACATTGTGATTAGATTTCGACCTTGTGTCACATGATGTTGACTTACTGAGTGAAATCTTTTTAGATTTAGTATCTTATGATTTTGACCAACCATTAATATTTTCACCTTTGTAGTCCATGGCATTTTATTTTCATTTCCCTTTTTGCTTTTTCTGACAGAAAAGGGCTTCCATACGACACACACCATTACTGATAGCATTTGAATGAATATTTATCAGTACAACAAATAAAGAAGAACACATTCAGAAGTTGCAGACTGTTTCCATCTAATAATAATGTCATAGCTACTCCACATACACTCTCTGGTCATTCTGCTGAGGTACACCCTTGCGTCCCATCAGATAAACTCCCGTTACATTGTGGAGAGGGTGCAGCGGGTTTTACAGGACAACAGAAAGCAGTTTCAGTAGTGCACACAGTCTTATTAACAGTCAGATAATGGAGTCACACCTTTATCTCTCGATGCACTAGGCACACTGAGGCCACATTTTACAGCAGGAACAGTAGCTGTCATTTTACTTTCTCCCTTTAATTGACAGCTTGTTGTTCTTTTTTTTGGATATGTGAAATTGTTTGACCTTTTTCTCGTGTTAAAAGCAGATGTGGTTGTGAACAGTGCGGGTGGAGGACATGTGCTGCCCCCTTTATGTTTGCTGGAACTTGAGATAATTCCCTGGGGCTGTGGTCATTGTACAGCAGAGTGTGCCTGGAGGCAAGCTGAGCCCCTCCCCTCACCCATTCCCCGCTCTCACGGGACTCGTTCTCTCTGTGCCAGCTATTGTTTCCATGTGGCTGGTGTTCCCACTCACAAAGGATGCTCAGCTGGCGGAGAGTCATTCATGATGTGGCAAATAGCAGCTGATGAGCCAGTTAGACATCAATCTGCCTGACATTAGCAGGCCTACTCAGGGGTCAGGGTGTGATTCATCAGAAACCTGTGGGGTTGCCTTGTAAATTGATTTAGGATGAAATTTGATAACCATACTGGTGTTCATCCACAGAAAGTGTCTTCTGAAACTGCATTGGCAACATGAAACAGCAGATTCTCATTTGAGTAGTAATCTTACTCATTTTAGACACAGTTTTGTGTGTTTACTTTGTGATAAGAAGTTTGGCTTTATTTTTTATTTGTTTAGCAATGCACAATATTAGATTTTCCAGCTGATTTTGGCTGATTGTCGACGCCGATATATGCACATATTTCTGAATCTAATTGCAGAGAGCATCAAGTACCTCCTGTACAGGAATGAACATATGAATCTGCCTACTCTTGTCATTATGGCCCACTGGCAGACGCACACATTCACATTTAAACTGTTCTCTGTTCAGCCTACTGTAACAGGCTGGGGCTCCCTGAGACAACCAGCTAATTGAACCTATTTCACAAGTTGCAAAACAAGTAAACGTAATCTCTGTCCACAGGACACAGGACAGCAGTTAAAGCCAACTAAAAGAAAACTGTTAGATAGTGTACTCCTTTCACACTGTTGCAGGCTACTTGCTTTACAGACTGTTGCTTCAACTCAGTCATATATAAACAGAATAAATGAATTCAAAAATAGGATGACAGCTTGCATCTCAGGTAAGAACACACACATCAGGTTGCGTGTGGCTCAACATAGTTGACAAATCCGGACATCTTCAACAGAGGAAAACAGCTGGTTGTCCAGAGCAATACACGGTTTGTGACTGACATTGGCTCTGGCCCCGGGGTGGTTGCGGTCATATTTTTTGCCTTTGTTGATGGACTGGAGAAGAGGCCGCTGACAGGTGTTTTCCGCTGGTGCCGGTCAGTATGATCTGAGGACGGCTCTTAATATGGGTAATACAATGTGTGATGCTGAAGGAATGACCAACACTGAGCATTCATTGCATCATCTCTACTCTGTTTCGTAACCTTTAAAAGAAGAGATGGGAGGTATTTTAGTGCCACTATCTTTTGTCCTTTTTCATTTTTAATAGGGGCACACAATATGCTTATTTGCTGCTTTATTGTGTCCGATCGCTTCAGGATATTCCACTGTAATGAAAGTGGTGGTGGAAAATGACAAATGAAAATAACCACAGATCAAAAGAATCCTGATTATTTTGTATTGTTTTAATGTTGATTTGTTTTACGAAGATTGGTTTTTTTAACAAATCGTGACTAAGACCCCTTCTTCTTACAGTGTACAGATACGCCTGTCAGGGCTGCGGCGGATGCAGTGGGGACTGTGAAGGAGTTTTCTAACTTCAGAACAGATGCATACAGGGATGACTAAGAGGTCACATATGGTGGACAGTCAGGTCCTCTAGGGGCTACAATCAGGTTGGGTTCTGGGTTTCTGGGATTCTTGTTTATGTCGACATGGCAGAATTATCACCCAGTGTCAGGCTGTCTCTGCTTTTACAAGTAGTGATTTAGGATGAGTTAGGTATGTGTAGAACTGGTTTTGAACCACTCCCCACACCACCAAGTTATGACCATATTTGGCGCTCTAGTAGTTCTTGTGGGTCTGGATTTGTGTTAAATATCCCTCGACAGCTAATAGATAACCTGAAATCTTCTTCAAGTATGAGTCATTCTTCTTCATCCAGGTTTTCCATCACAGTGACAATGTTTCTAAATGATCTCAAACCTAGTCTGGCACATCTCAACTGCCATTTCTTGCCCTCTCTCTGCTGACATAAACACCGATACCAATATATCTGCAATAAGCTAATATTATGTATATGATATTTACAGGGATTCACTTGACTAGACTGATGCAGTCTGCATGTTACAGGCATGCAAAACATATCAGCAATATGGCAAAATAAACAGATGTTTGGTTCATATGAATTGAAGGAATCTGTGCGTTTTGGAATTGCACATGCACTGTTTAAATCTGTTTCATGTACTATTGTCAGATCACAGTGAACATTTCAGCAAATATTGCAAAAAGATTATTTAGTCACCTACTGCAGCTCTAAGTCTCTAAGGATACAAGGATTCACTGCTACTAATCATGTGTCCTTCTATCCCTGTGCACTGCTGCCATACAGACACTTTCCTCATTTGATCTTTTTCTCATGCATATGCACACGTTAAAAAAAGTGGCCAAGAAAGGAGGTTTTCCCCGCAGAAATGTAGCCGTGTTAACTGGTTCCTCCACTCTGACCCAGTAACTGAAACCAAGCTTCTTGTTTGTTGATGTTACAGAGATAAGATTACAGCGGCAAGCAGGGTAACCTGGTTAGGTGCTTGCTTACTTTTTTGGCTGTTCCCACTGTGAAAGACCACATTCATATCATCCATTGCATGCTGGGAAAGGCTGCACCTCCCGGGAGCCCTAAAAGTAGAACAAAAATGGATTTGTTATCAGTTCACATTCTGGGTTGCTGGGGGAAATGTGGACAGCACAGGGAGAGTGCATGAGAGATGCTGTCACCTTGCACAGCATCTAGTGTGAAAAGACACCCTCGAGGAAAGTGAAACCCACCCTAATGCTGTGGGGTTCTTCTCAATCCAATTTTCAACAACTTACACTGTCGGCTAGTTTCATCTATAACAATGTATATTTTAGAAACTGATAATTATGTTTTACAAATGGAATCCTAATCTGAAAAAGTAGTGAGTAACAATAATTTTTAATTAGCTGTGAAATAAATGTGTCTAGTAAAAGGTACGATAATTCCCTCTAAAATCTAGTGAAATGGAAGTATTAAGTCTCATAAAATGGAAATCCTCTGCATGAAAATGTCCTATTCTAGTGTGTACTATGTGTGTGTTAAGTGGTGTCTTATGCGAGCAGAACAAGCCGGGATATAGGAACCATTTCTTGCTCATTTCCTCCCTTTTTTCATGTGTCAGGATCACATGACTACAAGATATGTGTGACAATCTGATGACTATGACCACAATTTTAGCACCTATTAACATACTCAATATGAGGAATCTTAAAATGACTGTACATGACACTATGGAGTACACTCATTTTGTGGGTTTGCTTCTGAGATGACCCTGTAACACATTTGTTGATCAAATAAATGAACATCTGTGGCACAAATCACATCAAATAAATCGCTAATTCTGTCATTTCAGTGTGTATCGTGCTAAAATAGGCCTTTTTATGCAGAGTTGGGTTAGGACAACTGAAAATGCTGACTGGGCTCAACTGGAACCTTTACACACTGCAGATAATAAAAGGACATTCAGGCATCTGTCCTGTCTGGTTGGGTTCAGTGCTCAACATTAAGGATGTCCCGGAGACAATAAAAGTAGCACATGGAATATATATATGATTCTAAGGTTAAATGTTTGTTTTTATGTTGATAATGCAGCTCTACACACACAGAATCAGTTCTAGAGAAAGACCAGTGTTGCCAGCTTGGTGACCCTCTCTAGACCCTCTTAGCGACTTTATTTCCACTTTATTTTCTACTCTCTTCTTGCATTGTGCGCAGGCAGTCAGTAGGTGTGGTGTGTGGGGCACATTTCACCTTCTCTCTCGCTCTTCCTCTCCGGATCTCTGGATTAAGGGTGTTCCTTTATGGTTTGTAAATATGTAAACATTGAAGTAGTTTGTTTGACCTTCTCTCTCACTCTTCCTCTCCGGATCTCTGGATTATACGCTTTAAAACGCTCTACTCACTAGATAAAAAACAGCTCATCTTACGCTATCAAAAACGACTACGTGATTCTGTTCAGTGGTGGTTACAAACACACCTATGAATATATATGATTCCATTTCTGACAATAGATCCAACTAAATGTTACACACTGCAGCTTTAAACTACGCATGTTGTTTTTTAAGTCTGGGACAGATGAAAGCAGAATCCACGACAGTTGTGAGACTCTATGGTTTCACTTAATGCAGCTGGGATGTGGAGTGTCAGACAGTGCAGTACTTTTAAACATTTTAAATGCAGTGTGAAAACATGGAGGACAGTCAGGGCTGTGGTCACTGATACTGATGACAAAGGGTTCTGATTTCCTACTGATCTTCTATCTCTGTAACCTGTGTGCATCACTAGTGGCCTCTGTCATATATTGTGCATTCATTGTTCCTGTAAAATAAACATTACATAAATAAATAAAAACAATTTAAAACCTGTGCAAACAGAGAGACCACAGATTTTAAGATCTGACCATTTATGTTCAAAGCACAGGCAAGTCTGACCAGCAGCTACAGTGCAGATATTTTAAGGCGTCAGTGGCTCAGTAGGTAGAGCGTGTTGTCCACTCGCCACAGGGTTGGTAGTTCACTTTACCTTCTGAGATATTTTATTGACTTTTATGTCTATATATAAAGCACATTAAGGACTTCCTAGACTGAGCTTCCTGCAGGATGCTGATGATGCTAAAGCAAGTTAAAAGTGTCATGTATTTCATATCTAAAGCCGCCTTCCCAATTAATAATATCTAATTGTCATAGAAAATTGGTGTTTTATACAATCTTATGTCTCAGGCTTTGGCAACTGATCCAGTCCTCAAGGTTTCTTTCTTAGGACTAAAGATTAACTTTAGCAGTATTCGATCATGAGCTTTATTTTCATAAATGAATGTCCCTTACCGTATTGAATAAATCTCTTGTGTGTCTTCTCAGATATGGCTGACCTTTGCACCAGTAGCAGACAACTCTGCCAAGTTTCTGAAGGTATCTCTGGCGGAAGTCAACTGGTTGTCACTGGTCTTCATGGTGGTGGCCGTACCGTTCAGCTTTGTGACCACGTGGATGGTGGACACCATCGGCCTACGGATCTCGGTACAAACCTCACCCTGAAACCGTTTGATACAATATAATGCACCTATGTTTAGCAGGAAATGAGTTGATACCCTATTGTTCCCTTTTACTGGAAGATATCTGTCTTTATTGCCAATTGGGGCTTTTATGACCACAACACAAAGCTGTAACCAAGTGGCAAGTTATTTTTAGAAGTACAGAAGAAAGAAAACACTCCAGATCCAGGATGAGAAAATCACATTTTCTAAATGATTATTTGTATCTGCGGATAAGGCTTCAGATGGAAGCAGAGAGAAAACAGACTGGAGGTTCTGTGAATATTGATATTCAGTTTGTTGTTTGAGCATTGTGAATATACAAAACGTTTTTATTTACGACACCATCTACAAGTTAGTTGTAACACATGTGGTACAAGACTATACGAAAAATACAATATGAGAAAACCCTTTCCTGGGAGAAATCACACAGGAAATGGTGATGGGATGATAGAGGGGTAGAGTATAGATAGTGGAATCTGTTCCAGCATTTTGACCTTTCACCCTGCTGTCTTGACGTTGCAGCTGATTCTGGGATCCTGGCTGAACATGTTCGGAGCCCTGGTGCGCTTCGGTGGGTCGATGCTCAGCCAGGAATCTGCAGTGTACCCTGTAGTGATGCTGGGCCAGACCCTTGGTGCCCTGGCTCAGCCACTCATCTTCTTCACCCCCACCAAGCTGGCAGCTCTCTGGTTTCCTGACCACCAGCGCGCCACAGCTAACATGATCGCCTCGATGTGTGAGTGATTTACTGTTTATTACTGAGAGCTGGATGTGAATTAGCAGTTACCAATGCAAGCATACAGTCTGAAAGGCTTTCTACTGGCTATTGATCGTATGTTGTTTCGACCAAAACAACTTTATATATTGTTACACCGTGGTCTGGGTGAATACTCGATTCT